GGCTTCTCAAACGGAATCACGGGATCCCGGAGGTAAAAGGCCATCCCGTTATCCCGGGATTTCAATGAAATTTCTCGGGAATCCCGGCAATTTTTTTAAACATTTTTACTCAAATTTTTATTAATAACATTTTTAATATTTTTACATTTGTGAAGATATTTAAAATACTATTACTCAAAATTTGAGTACTAATTACTTCCTTTTCCCTTTTATAATGAACTTTTATAAAAATTAGGAAGATATCTTATAGAGGGCAATTAAATCACTAATATTTTGCAGTTTTGGTTTGTGTCTAAGATATATCATTATTCAATTTGATTTTTAAATAGATTTGATTTACTTTTATGTTGTAACTTACAGTATATAAAGCTTGAACAAACAAACCAAATCAATATAAAATAACCAGAGACAAGTTACAAGTATTTGTTCGAGCAAAAAAAAGTAATTAATTAGTTACGCATAAAAGTTAATACTTAGTAAGTAAAGTAATTAGTGAAGAAAGTAGTTTGTATGTAAAAAGTGAAATAAGTGAAAAGCAAGTAAGTGAAATTTAAAATATATGTTTAGTAATTACAGCTAATTTTAAATAATTTAACTATCAGCACATTATTTCGGGATTTAATTGTAGGTAATATAGTTTTATATTTATATTTTAATCAATTTGATTAATTGGATAACAAATATAGCGTCAAGTGGATCTAAAGCATGGGGAAATTTTACAGAAGAAAAAAACACAGATTCTGCCACTTGTAATATATATAAAACAACAATAATGTGCAAAGGATTTTCTAGTGGTCTTCTTCGTCATTTAAAAAATCTTCACCAGGAAGTCGAAATTGAAGTACCGAAAAAAAGGCCAAAAGAAGACACAAGTTTTGAAGTTAGAAATGCTCAACCTAAAATTACGTCATATATAAAAAAGGAATATATAGAAGAAACTGTTTCAAAACTGGCGGCTGTAGATGGTTTTTCTATTAATGCTATTGCAAAATCTGAATTTATGAGAAAATCTTTATCTGATAAAGGAATGATATTGCCAAAAAACCCTTCACATGTAATGAATTTGGTAAAAAGTCAATACCATCTAGCAAAAAAAGTAGTGGTTAAGGAAATGACTATGAAAATTCAAGGTGGCTCTAGATTCTCTATTTCAATCGACGAATACACATCTTTAAAAAATTTTCGCTATTTGAATTTAAATGTACATTCATTAACTAGGCTTTAAAACTTGGGAATAATTGGGTCGCTTCCTTGATAGCGCTTTTGACAATTTATGTTTTTTAAAAATAATTTTAAAAGTTAATATATATATATATATATATATATATATATATATATATATATATATATATATATATATATATATATATATATATATATATATATATATATATATATATATATATATATATATATATATATATATATAATATAATGTTATTGAAGTTTATTATTTGTTTTATTTTGAGAGTCTTAGTTTCTAAGAATTATTTTGTCCTTATTTTCTTGTTAAAAACTTCTTATTTTAGCTCTGACGCTTATTTTTTGGAATTTACTCCACTGGGAATTCTATCAGACATAGGGTAGAGCGGGGCTAGTTGAGCATCGGGACAAGTTGGGCAGTTAAAATATCTCAAAAACTAGGCATTACATGACAAAACATCTAATGGATGAAAGTTAGAAAATTAGAATGTTAACACAATCCCCAACAAAAGATTGCAGGAAAGCTATTTCGTAAGATACACGGGCACCTTTTCTAGTTTTGACCAAAAAAGTAAAAAAAAAATTTTTTTTGCTATTTTTTTCTTTTTTTTGCTACTTTTTTTCTTTTTTTTTTTGCTATTTTCCAAGGAGATAATATGTCTTTGGCCTTGAGATTTATTTCACATATTGAAAAATTAACGTCATAGATTTTATAGTGCTTATTTTTATTTTATTTTTATTGTCACTACACAAACGCTTGTTGGTTTATTTGTTGGTTAAGTTTCTCTGAACAAGACGATTAAAACATTACAAAAAATGAATGTTAATGACAGTTTTTAATAATGGATCTCTAGGCTCGTGCATTAATGAAGAATGTTGCCAGTTGTGATAAGTAGTGTGATTTACAGAATTCAGTGAACCATCGAATCTTCGAACGCAAATTGCGCTCGCTGAAGTTTTTTTTTTTTTTTTTTGTATGTATTTAGGTACTCCCATAAGTCCTTACGGTCTTATCGTAGAGCACCGCGGGAGAGCATTTAACAGGAAGTTCACGCCTTCTTCCGTACCAATGTCGCTTGTTGGGCTAGAGCTGGCGTCAAACCTCGGACCTCTGGGTTCTGAGCCAAAACTCAAACCACTGCGCCACGGCTGCTATTAAAAGTCGCCTAAGGTAGGACTCGAACCACGGCGTTTTTGTTCCCAGTGAGCATGCCTGTTTGAGCGTCGTGTTCAAAGTCTAACACGTTTAGGCGTGGAAACTGATGTGCAAATAACACGTTTAGGCGTGGAAAGCCATGTGCAAATAAAAAGGCGCGTTCTTTTCCATGTCTGAACCTGATAAAAGTTGCAGTGATAAAAAATGGCGGGGACTGTTACGAAAGGCTCAAAAAAGAAAAAGAAAGCAGTCATGGTGCAGTGGTTAGAGTTTTAGCTCAAAACCAAGAGGTTCGTGGTTCAACGCCAACTCTAGCCCAATAAGCAACATTGGTATGGAAGGAGGCGTGAACTTCTTGGTTAAATGCTTATCACAATCCTCTGTGATAAGATAGATAGGTCTTCTTGTAGAACCTTAATAATTAGAAAAATGATAGACAGTGTGGAAAAATGGCAAGAGTCTACCTTTTTCGGAAATTAACACTAAAATAATAAATGAACTTTTTTTACAACCAACTAAAAGATTAGTTAACTAATCTAATGCTCTATATTTAAAAGTTGAACAAAAATACCTGGCAGGACGAATTCGTGTAACGCCTGTAGCTAGACACATGATGGTGGATGACGAAGATATTGGTATGTTTCAAGAACACTTTACATGCTGCAATGCTTTCTTATCATTTAATGAGATTACTGCTGGGCAAGTAAAGCAGTAATCTCATAAACCACACTACAATAGTGGATAAAAGAAGCGAGTCTTTTTACATGAGGATATTAATGTAAATATGAATTAATTGATACAATAATATATTTTATAAAATATAACTAAGTGAGTAAATATATATTTCTAGCGACGGATCCAGTAATTTTTGGTGAGGGGGATGGGAGGGAAGGATGTTGAAATATTTTATGTATTTTGTATCATATTTGCGTCTCATAAAAAAAAAAATATATATTTTAGAACTTTCGAATTCTGGTGGGGGATACATACCCCCATTCTTCCCCTGGATCCGTCACTATCCGTCGTTATATGTTCTTTAAATATTGTTATTCAATTTTTATACTAAAATTTTGTGCTTTGTATATTAGAGTTTCATTTATATGAAGTATGCATTATATATACAAATATTGTTCATAATGGAATCTGCAAAATTTCTATTTTCAACATGTTTTAACTTATATTTATTTACTTTAATTTTGAAATCTTTAGAAATATATATTTTAAAAGTTAATATATATATATATATATATATATATATATATATATATATATATATATATATATATATATATATATATATATATATCTGTGTGTGTGTGTGTGTGTGTGTGTGTGTGTGTGTGTGTGTGTGTGTGTGTGTGTGTGTGTGTGTGTGTGTGAAAAGTAAAAAAGTACTCTAGTACAGAAATTTGGTGTATATAGTAATATGGAGTATCATTGTTTAACCAAGTCAGTGCGTATCACAATCACGGACGTAAAGAAAAATGTAAAGAAATTCAGTAAGAATTGTAAGTTAGTAAAAATGGTGAGACAAAAACTGAGATTTCGAAGAAACAGAAAGAACTAAAAGTCCAGCAAGAAATCCAAAAGTGCATAGCCGATATATAATATAAAAAAGAGCGCAAAAAACCGAGTGAAAGATGACTCAACTTACTTGATAGCCAAAGACTTCTGCAAGAAACTTGTTCGAACATCTCAACCAATAATGTGTACTGTAAAAAGGTTTCACTTTTAATACTCATGTCTTGTCTACATCAGACGCTTATTTTTACACATACGGTAAAGACGATTGAAAAAAGGGTGATGATGATATATGCTCATTTCTTAGTTTTTTCCTGGAAAACGAAGTCTTAGACATATCTTTTACGATAGCTGTGCGGCCGAAACAAAAATTATTGTTATTCGTTTTTTGCACAGCTTCATCGAATCTGTAACTCGAGACTCTGCCCGTCACCATATGTTGCGAGGAACTGTGACCAACCTATAATTAAACGGCGCAGTAAATATTTTGAACCTGAATATAAGAATGTGTGTCATTTTAAACAAGACTCATAGAGGAATAGTTTGTTACCGAGAATCATTTAAATAAATTTTATCGCGACAAATGCAACAGCAAATTCCAGCTATGTACCTTTAGGATGAGGATCACGAAGAATTACAATTAGCAGCATAATGAGCTTCAACCATTGTTTAATAGAGCATTTGCAATAAACAACAAGAACTAGAATGACATACATAGGCTAGTTCGTTTCTGCAGCCGTAAAGCTGCTGATTATTTTGCTAATTTGTGTCATGTTAATCAGGATGGAACTGATGACGACAATAATGACAGTGGTCATGATAAGGACTAATTAAATTTAATTAGATAAGACTTAGTTGCATTATTGTGTTCTAGTTGTGTTGTCGCACAAAACGTTTATTTATATAATATGTTTTAAAACAAACGTTTATTTATATAATATGTTTTGTTGACGACACATAATAAAAAGAAATACGATTACTGTTGTAATTTACTTTAGTATTGTTATCTACGTTATCTATGTATATCTATTGTTATCTATAAATCTATAACTTTTATGCAATTATTCGAAACAACAATTTTTTCGATTATGTCTAATAAATATTAAATTATTATTATTTTGTTCAAATTCAATTCAAATATAAGCAGGTTTTACAATTCTCAAAAATAAATAAAAAAAAAAAAATCCCCGATATTTACAAAACAATCCTTTAAAAAAAAGTTAAACAAAAATTGTTTAAATACTTGAAAAATAAATATGCGTATTAAAGAAATATCCATTGTCATCCATATAAACAAGGTTGTCTATCGCCAAGTTAATTTCAAAAACGTAAAAGTTGTTTTATATTTCTAATAAAGTTAAAATTCTTTTAACTTAATAACTTCCATACGGAGAACAGATCCGTTATTATGCAAAGAATTTAAGCTCTGCATCCTATTATTGCTGTTTTTCAAATAGGAGTAACGGAGTTAGGTATGCGTAATAGAGCTAATGTTCTTTCAATTTGTTTGTATGCAATATCTAACCGATTCATTACTATATCACTTTCACAATTAATCAAGTTAACAGTTTCGAATATATTAGAGTCTACAGTAAAATCCTTAGAAACTAAGTTGTTATTAAGTTGCTGCAGTAACGTTGACGTCTGACTGTTAAAGTCTCTATAAAAATGTAAGCACACCATAGATAATAAATTAGTTTAAAAATGAAAACGCATTAAAAAGAAATATAATCTTACTTAATTTTCTGGATTTGAGAAGAAGCTTCTTTACAGTTTTTACCAACGTCATTTGCATAAAAAAGAATTTGTCGCAAGCGCTGCTGTTCGTTTTCCAAATAAGAGGTAAATTTCATGCGGACATGTTGCTCATTTTGCAATTGTGTTTCCAGTTGTTTAATATAAGCTAACGACTAATAACAAGCAAAACAAATAATTAGACCTTGCTTTATATTGTATCCCTTGGTTTAATTCTATATAGAATATTAACAACTCCTTTTGAAGTACTTAAAGGGTGCTTATTCTTAAACATAAAAAAATATCCTAAAACATTGTTCTTTACATAACTTAAAGTTCTAAACACGATTAAAGGTGATTTTCCACTCATCCGTTTTTCTACGGGAAAGGGAAAGGGAACGGAAAAATAATCAGGTGAGCATGCGCAGTTTCCTTACGGACAAGTAAAAATTTTTATTACGCATGCTCACGTGATTATTTTTCCGTTCCCTTTCCCTTTCCCGTAGAAAAACGGATGAGTGGAAACTTACCTTAACAATTGACACGGACCAGACTTAAGAAAACTCTTTTAACAAATTAACAAATCTTTTTTATGTATTTTTTTTTTATGTTACTTTCTAATTCTTTTTTATGTTTCAAACTATTTTTTTATTATATTTCATTGAAATAAAGCTAGAAAATCGGTAATATATTTCAAACATTTTATACAGTATGGGACAAAACATTTGCAACCAACATCGAACAATGCTAAAAAGTGTTCCTAATTTTGCATGTCTTAAAAACAAAACGAACTATACTACCACAGCAAACAGTTCAGGAGTCTGGAGTCATAGTATGCCATGACATGAGCAATCAGCTGACAGGTGACAGCACAGAGACAGAATTTCGTTGACAAGTGCCATTTTGCAGCGGACAAAACAAGTGCAACTTTTTTGGTTTGTTTCATTTTCTTAAGTCTGGTCCGTGTCAACGTCATGGAAGTTTTTTAATAGTTAAAGGAAGTATCCAGAAGCATGGAGAAGCTTCCAGAAGTTTCCAGAATAAGCATCTGGAAACATCCAGAAGTATCCAGAAACATTCAGAAGCATCCAGAAGCATCGAAAAGAAGCATCTAGAATCTTTCAGAACAGGTTCACACAGGTTCATTTTACTATATAAGAGACATGTAAACCGACATGTAATTCAGTCAGTATATGGAGGTCAATCAGTCAGTATTATCGAAGACAGTTTATCGAAGTGAGTTTTATCAAAGTGTTTTATCGAAGAACATTAATACAAGAAGATAAGATAACAAAGGTGGAAGACCGCGTTCCACCACTTCAAGAGAGGATTCTATGATCGTCAGATTCATCAAGAAGGATCTCTGGATATTATCAGTCGAGATACAAAAGCAATTAAAGCTGCCTGTATCGGACCGAACAATCAGACGACTTGCTGTTGAAGCCGGACTGTTTTCTTGACGCCCTGCAAAGAAACCGCTGATTTCACTAAAGAACCAGAAGAAAAGACTCCTGCTTGATCTCATATTGACTGGAATGTGCAGAACTGGCGAACTGTAGTTAAGGCACTTTTAAAATATTATAGCGTCTGTATGATATTTTGTTGACTACGACATTTCCGTTAAATGGTCTGGTCTGTGAATTATGAAAAGACGAAAAAAAATTAAAAAATACATTTTGCGGGATCATAAAATATAAATGTTTGTAGCGAAAAAACCCAGACCGTGGAATCTTTTTTTAAAAAAAAAATTTTCTTAAAATCACAATCGCTCGTCCAAATTTAAATAAGATTTTATATTAATACGTTTTTTAGGTAAAATGAACATTATAGTTTAACAATATGATCTGTTCTGATCGTTTATTGGCAATTTTTCATATTTATCTTTCTTGGTCGGATTCCAGTATTTTTTGTGAAAATTGATAGAAATATTGTGTTTTGACAATTATATATAGTTAATATACGTCAGAACCGATTAGAATTAGGATCAGTAGTAAATTAAGGAACTATTTAAAAAGATTTTAACTAAATTCATGTTAATGCCGATAAGCGGAATTGATTTAAAGACTCCAAAATAGTGTTATTTAGATACATTTTTACGGGTAGTAAAAGAAAATTATATAAAAAAAAGAAAAGTTTCTTTAAATATTATAAAAACCTTAAGCAAAAAAAATTATAACATTTAAAGATCTTGTTTGGGCATAATATGCTGACAAAACCATGCTAATTCCAAATAAAAGTATTCAAATATTTTGTAAATCGCCTTAACTACACCGAGCTGTTCAGTGATGAATCGAAGTTCAACATCATTGGGAGCGATAGCATTTGCCGTGTACGTCGACCGGCCGGAAAACGCCTCGATTTACGTTACTGCCATAAGACCGCGAAGCATGGTGGAGGCAATGTAATGGTCTAGGGGTGTTTTTCTGCTAACGTTCTAGGTCCAATACATCGAAACGATGGAATAATGGACCGTTTCATGTATAAAAATATCCTGAAAGATGTTATGTTACCTCATGCTGAATGGAATATGTCAATAAAATGGGTTTTTCAGCAAGACAACGATCCGAAACACACTGCAAAAGTAGTCAAGCAGTGGTTTCAAGACAACCACCTATCGATGATGGATTGGCCGCCTCAATCTCCGGATCTCAACCCTATCGAGAACCTGTGGGAGATCGTCAACCGCAGAATTAATCGTGAAGGTGTTCGTAATAAGGATCAACTGTTTGAACAAATCCAAAAGGCCTGGGCAGCGATTCCACAAAGTTTCATTGATCACCTGATCGAATCTATGCCACAAAGATGCAAGGCTATGATCGACAACAAAGGATTCGCCACAAAATATTGATAGCGAAATACAGCTTGGTCAATATTTTGTGGATTTGCATTCGTTTTGTCCATAAGGAAATCAACTTTTCTTTAATACTTTTGATTAATTGATTAATTTTCATGTACAAATGAACTTTGTGATGAATAAAACTTGAAGAACGTTGTCTCTAAACAGTTACATAGTTATTTCTCTAAATTGAAAAAATGCAGCACTTTTATACAAAGAAACTAAATTAGCATTATTTGGTTGCACTTATTTCGTCCGATACTGTATATTCAGTCGGTATAATTTATTTCTTGGCATTTTTTGGTGGGAACTAGGCTCGCGACATTTTTAACAATAAAAACTGCGAATTGGCCGGGAGGATTGCTACCTTAATTCGAATAGCTAGTTAGTTAGCAGAAACTGGTGGCGGCGAGGTTCGTTGTAATTTTATTGATACAGCGTCGTTAAGATATTGTTAGCTTTGATGCTACTGTGTGTAGCTACCAACAAGGTGTATTAGTATTGCTCATTACGAAGCTACATACCGACTTTTTGTAATGCTTAAAGTTGAAATTTTTTTGGTTATAAAAAACTTAAAAAAAAATCATTGTGCGAGAGAAACGAGTAAACACAACAAAAATAACAATAACAAAAGTCGCTCAACGCTCGATGCAAAGCTAACTAGTCGGTTGCTCGTCGCTAAATATTACCTGCTAAGTTTTCACAGAGTTATAGTTACATCACTAAATAGCTATTTCTTTTTACTACAGTATTATGCATGGTTATACTCTTTTTAATATTTTAGTTCTAAACTAATTTGATATATTTTACGGGAATAAAAAACTCAGATCTTGTTACGATTGCTTCGCAATTGATAAAAAATCGCAAAGATGCAAATATCACCATGAACAATTATGTACGCGTAACATAAAAAATAATGACGAATAATAAATACTTAGTAGCCTGACTTTCTACGACACTTTTAACTATACTGACTGACGAATAATAAATACTTAGTAGCCTGACTTTCTACGACACTTTTAACGCACTGCACATTTAACACGCCAGATATACAAAAATAAGTGTCAATAAAAATAATTAAAAATAACCTGCTGCAGCTGATTATTTAAATCATGAATTTGTGTGTGTATCTCTTGACCGTGTATTGTATCCGTCTAAAAAAGGAAGATAAAAAAAATTAACTTAAATTAAGGCCTCTAGTGCTAATTATCATTTATTTGCAAGTATATAAATTTTTAGAAATAAAACTTTTAAATATTGCTTATGCGCTTGGAATACCTTTTTCCTTTATAATAGTTGTTTAATATTAAATTGCAATTTATTTCACCCTCATTTCGCATATAGGATAAATTGTCTCAAAAAAAATATACTATCTAAAAATAAAATAAAAAGCTTTTAAAATAAAAATTACTTTGGGAACTATCCTTTGCTTGATTTTGGCAATTGCCATCAATATTTTCTTCCGAGGACCTAATTTGCTTTTGAAAATAAAAAGATATTATGATTTAATATTTTTGTTTTAATGTCAAAGCCAAAAACAAAAGCATAAAAATCAAAACATAAAAAAAAAAAAAAGATAAAAGAAATGCAAATAAATTACTAATAAAAAACTTACTCAATTCCAATTTCCCGTAAATCCGCGTCATTTAGCGTCAAAAACGTGCTTATATCAATCAACTGGTTTTCAAACTTTGCTAAGTGCGTTTCTAAATTTAACTCTTCTAACAACTCCTGAAGACTCTCAGGAACATAGAAGTGTTGATAATAAGTCTTGTCAGTAACGTCATTTTTAAAATGTCCAACTTTCTTTGAATATCTAAAACGATCTGAATGAATTTGGCAACGAATAATAATAATAAAAATAAACAATATTAAAAAAAAAAAATAAAATAATTATGCTCTGACTTCATGCTATTAGGTTTCAGATTAAGAAGAGCTACACTAGAAATACATAAGAAAGACAAAAAAAAAATTGTGTATAGCGCTTGTCAACATAAAGATTGCACTTTACAAGTGACAAATGAATATCAAACTTACTAGTAACAAAAAGATCATTTTCCCCAATTATACCATTAACGATAATATGCCACTAATGAAAATTTTGCCATTAATAAAAATATTACTATTCTATATATACCTAATTGGAAACCAGTTTACAAAAACTCGCTTATGCTAAAATCTGCGCAAGTACTTTAAAAATCTGGCGTTAATAACACTTAAATGTTGGCTTTTGGTCGAGAGAGTAATTTTTTTTTCAATATTAATTTATTATAAAAATAAATGCGATTATTTTGGGAAAAAAAAATCAAATCTTCTCATTTTCCACTAAAAATATTATTATAAACCTTTTTTACTAAACTTTTAAAAATGTTATATAAAATTTTTTCTTATATAAAAGTATTATTATGAACCTTTTTTCAATTACTTCATTAGAAATTTTTTCATTTGAACAAAATTGAACATAAAGCTATATGTTGTATTTTTTGTTAACTGCCGATTGTTAATTATTAGTTTCGATTGTTGAATTGTTGATTTGTTTTATTTTGATTTGAAATGATTAAAAAAAAAGAATAATTGGTTTGTATAATTCCCAAAATTATGATATATATTATAAGTTAATGTTAATAAAATTTAACATTTACTTCCTTGAGGGATTAAGAGGGGGGCTATAGCTCCGAGCCCCGCAAATTTAGGGGCCCCCAAAAATTTTAGAGGACCTATTTTTTTTTTAAAAAAAAGTCATTTTTAGGCTCTGACCCATAAAAAGGCCTCCAAAACAAAAATAGCCCCGGGCCCCAAGAAGTCTTAATCCGCCACTGATTTACTTATAATATATATTAGACAATTTTAAGTTTTTTTTTATCAGAGAGTTTTTTTATTTGGTAATTCCGCATATTACTTTTGTTATTAATTTATTTTTTTATATAATACACAATATATTTTAAAATATCAATGCATGTTAATTTATTAATATACGCATTACCTAACTTTATTTTGAATATTTTTTTATTAATTTTATTTTTTCATTTTCATTGATTTGGTTTATATATATTTTTTAGCTGCTATATTAAACGACCCTATATGCTAGATTTAAGAGGCCGATTCTGAGTATTTATAAAAACAAACTGTTACACAATTACAGAGAAAATATCTCATCTGGACTAATAAGAGTTTAAATAGATAGCAGAGAAAGTTCATGCAAATAGGGCCACCGTAATTTGTTTAAACAATATTTAGTTCTATGTTATGATTCGCAATCAGGTAATCAATTACAACTATTCTTTTATTCATGTTGAAGACTTCAAAAAGAATGTGGCAAGTCTCTGAGGAGAAATGATGTGGCAATTTTTAATTTAAATAAGTTTTAATATGGTCTGAAGTAAAGTTCTGTTGCCGGTATTTTATATAGTTTTACAATCCAAGATGAAATCATTTTCTATGAGTTCAAGTATATAATATTGCTTGTAACTTAAGTACTAAATGTGATATTAAATTTGTCTCCTCTCAATGCAGACATTGATTTTGCATAAGACTATCGAGTCTTGTACCCTGGATAAAGAAATTCTTCAATAAAGAACTTGTTAGATCACGAAGTAAATTACTGAATTCTATTGGCACAGAGCACTTTTTTTTTGTTGCGGTTGATTTGGGAAAATCATTTTACGCATAAAATTATTTTTCAACTTTGCTGGAATTAAAATAGTAAAGCCGATAAGCATTTTTTTTTTTTCACTAAAGAAGCCGCAAGCTACAATGAAACAATTTGTTTTGTTGAAACTGATAGCAAGAGCTATCAGTTTCAACAAAACAAATTGTTTCATTGTTTTGTTGAAACTGATAGCTCTTGATCATTCAAAACATGCGGATGTCTTCTTAAAATAAATTTATGCCTGATTCCATTTCTAGTGTGGATAAGTGGTACTATGAATGTGCACATATTAGCTGTGTGATTGCAATAGAAATTCTATTCTTCTTATGTTTTTGTTTCTATATATTTAAATTATTTCTTTAAAAAACATATAGAAGTTTATTTGCTTTTTTTAAATGTTCTTTTTCTATGTCTACTTTTAAAACTTTAAACAGCATCTTTTCAAAGAGTGGAATTGATTAGTTTCTGCTTTTGGTAAAACTGTTAAACTCCAATTCGTTGCAAGTAAAATAAAATGCAAGAAAGTATTTTTAAAAAACAAAGCTTGATACGTTTTCGACAGTATCTTGGGCAGTTATTAAATTGGAAGTTACTATTCGTCCGACAAAATAGACAAATAACCTTTAAGATATTCGTCCGACCAGAAGAAAAAATATTTAAATTTAACTTTACGCTTGGTGAAAGTTAAGCTTGGTTTCCAATAGTTGTAGAAATGTCGTATAACAGTTGTACAACAATAATGCTTTATAATGGAAACATTTTCTTGCGTAAGTTGCACAACTTAACGTCGGTTGTACAACAAAATTTATGTTGTAAAACAAAGGTTGCAGAGATAGAATTAAACCTATTTCGGCATTATTTCATTTATTTATGCGCGCGCGCACACACACACACACACACACACATAGACACACACAGATATATATGTATTTTAAAATTTTTAATTTTTAAAATACAGTTCCTAGATTGAAATTGTTGTAAATTTAAAGTAAACTATTTTGGAACGTTTTAGTTTTGTGAATATTTTAATATAATGATAATATAATATAAATGTCTAAAAACAACTAAATGCATTTTATGCATAACCATAGTTAGTCTGAAGCAATCTAAAGTCCTAAAGTCTAATAAAAAATACAAGTCTAGGTCTGGGTAGAGGTGCTACTTAATTCAACTTGTTTATATTCATAACCATGAATATCTTAACCCTTTTGTACCAAGTCCACAACTCAAATCAAAGTTGTTTTTTGAGTCATTCGGCATAATACACAAAAGTTGTCTATTCTGTAATTTATGTAATTATGTAATTACCTCAAATAAATTTGCTGTTTAGCGCATTATATGCAGAATATTATCGCAAATATTCGAGTATGGTCATTTTTTAGTACATTTCAGTACATTTTTTATGTAATTATTATGGTCTGAATTTCACTTAATAAGTGTATTAAAATATTTATTTCATCATCACAAGAGCAATCTATAAGTAGATATCAAAATAACTAATGTTATAAGCTAGTATCTCTAATATTGCTTATCGGAATTTCCAAAATAAAAATTTAATAAACACGGTTAGTGAATGATTATTTTAGGATTAAATATTAAAATTACCTTTCATCAGAAAAATGGTCTGTGTTAGCGTTTTCTAAACAAAATCATAATAGAATATAAGTAACACTAGGGTCGAAAAAAAGTTACATAAAAAATGTTTTCAATATCCATTCTATGTATATTTCGATACCGATTCTATGTATAGATATTCAACAAGCATTCAAAAGCATCAATAGCAGTATTTTATCAAAGTTAGCATATTAAAACTCTTGGACTTAGCTCTTCTAAACAGAACCGGTGTCGGACAACTGGAGGAGGGGGACACCCAGCTTTATTAGAGACCTGATGAAAATTGTTGATCCTATTATTAAAAAAAACCTTTTGAAACTACTTTTAAGCTTTAGTGTAATATAGAATTACAAAAGCATGGCTTCGGGGATATAGAGCCGGCTCTACACTTGAATTCAGTTTTAGAGTACAAAATATGAATATCTTTGTCAATTGTAGTGCAGATCACTACTTCCGAGGTAAAGTCTTTTTATTTACTTCTGTAAATAAAAAGACTTTATAGAAGAGCTGCGGATATATGTAACGTATATTAAAAATATTTGATGTCTCGAACAGGATCGACAAATCAAAAAAACACATCGTTTTTTACTGAAACGATTCTTAAAATAATTACCTGATAAAAACCTTATTTAATTATGGCGCTAAATACAAAGATATAATGCAAAATTTTTATTCTACAAAGATATTCATGCTTTGAAAGATAACAAGTAAAAAATATATATCTTTTTATATTATAATTTTGTCTACTTTTGCAGATTATTTTTTTAATTTTACGGATCTCTAATAAAAACAAAAAAAAAAAAATTGTTTAAATGTATTTTACCAAATGTGTTTTCAACGGGTTGATTTTTCGTGGTGAGTCGAGTAAAGTCTGGACACAACGTCGCAACAGGAATTTGTTGTTGAGACTGTTGTTGTGCAGCAACGCTATAATAAAACCATGTTACTAGTATTGTATTTTTTTAAATGTTTAAAAAAATAATTTCTCTTTTAATGACGTAAATTTATAATTTGTATTTTAGCGTAGAGATGAAAACAATGTTATAAAGGAGAGAAAAAAATTTATCCTGTCTCATTGACGTTTGTATATTGCTTTATATTGTATAATAAACTATTTATTTTACTATAAAAATGGTTAAAAGCAACATACAACCCGGGTCTAATCTCAAACATTAAATAAATGTATTTTCTCCATTTCACCTAGTAGAATATATGTATGTATGTATGTATGTATGCATATATATATATATATATATATATATATATATATATATATATATATATATATATATATATATATATATATATATATATTTTTTGCACGCGCAGATGTATACATACAAATTAGCGCTTAGTATAAAACAGTGTAGCGCTTGGTATAAGAGAAATAATGGGGTGCGCATAACAATAAAATAGTGATAAATTTCTTGAGTAGATGATAAATTTTTTCTGTTGCCACAATTGTCACAAAGAAAAAGTTAATATAGAAATGTTACAAAAAGGAAACATGTAAAAAAAAAAAAAAAAAGTCGCGCAATTTTAATATCAGTATGTTTGCGCGATCTTTTTAAATAACTTTATAAACAAAAATATATATTTACAGCAAAGAAATAAAGCATAAATCGTTTCTGATTATTTTTTTACACTGAATTTCGTTATTTAGTATAAATTATGTAAATAACCACAGACAATATCGGAAATAATAAACTAACCTCGCTGCTTGTATCAAAGAGTGTATAGTAGATGGTCCTTCACTAATGTTTGATTCATGAACTCCTGGATGAAATATTACATCGACACCTGCCAACTCTAAATGAAATATGAAACGTACTCTTCGATTTTTCATTTTCGACATCGACTTTATAAATATATTTCAGCACCTGGATAAATAATCACTGCAAAAGCTGTCAATTTAACTTTAGGTTCGAAATATTATTTTAAGTTTGTAATTGTGTAGTTACAGTTTAGTTGTTTATTGTTTTTTTCACCATGGAGATACTATAATGGTATATTGTTTGAATTTCTAATTCAATTGACCGACATTTTTACTTTAAGTAAAACAAATTAAATTCAATAAAAAAACTTTAACAAAATGTTTAATGAGTTATTTAAAATGGAAAAAAAAACAACTTAAAACAATGTGTTTAAAATTGTATATTGTGTAAAAAGTTCACAAAAACTCGAAAAAATTGAACCTAGCACAAAGTAAACATAAAACATTTTTTTTTATAAACTAAACTTATAAAATTAATTTTATAAAAACTAATGGAGAAACAAAAATGTAGATTGAGGCGCAGCAAAAACAAGCAGCATCTTGCCGTCATGAAAAAATCATACGGTCACTTAAAAAAAAAAATCTTTCAGTTTAAAACCATCAAACCTCCTACATGAAACTTTTATAAAAAAAACTGTTTTTAATCGATTTAAGCTTGGTCTCAAATAGAAATAATTTATACAATTTTTTACTAGAGTTTATTCAAACACATAAGTTTAGTAAATAGCTTAAATTTAAATTAAAACTGTTAAACTCTTTTAATTTTTTTTTTTTAAATCAAATCCGAGGCTCATAATTAATTATAATATATTGGAATAACGAGATTTTCACTGACTCATAGAAACCAACTGTGATTCTTATAAAAATTATGTTAAATTTATTATGTTAGTAATGAACAATTTTACTGGATTAACCACGTTTTGTTCTAAAACGCATATATATATATATATATATATATATATATATATATATATATATATATATAAAATTAATATATATATATATAATATATATATATATATATATATATATATATATATATATATATATATAATATATATATATATAATATATAATATATAATATATATATAATAATATATATACATATATATATATATATATATATATATATATATATATATATATATATATATATATATATATATATATATATATATATATATATTTATATATATAATATATATATATATATATATATATTATATATATATATATACAATATATATATATAAATAAAATTAATATATATATATATATAATATATAATATATAATATATATATATAATATATAATATATATATATATATATATATATATATATATATATATATATATATATATATATATATATTTATATATATAAATAATTGAGAATTCTAATTACGTTACGCGCCGCGCTCTCCTACGTAAAAACCAGGACAATCGTCACCATTTACAATCTGTTTTCTTTGTTTTAAACTTTTGTTGTCTATGTGTCTAACATCTGATTTGTTCTTTTTTTTATTTTACCTTAATGATATTAATGATTTATAATTTTACATTTTTTTCTATAAATTTTATTGTAAAAAATTATAAAATATGATATATACATAATTTTTTACAAATCTTTTTGTAAAAAGTTATAAAATATGAAATACATAATACTATTTTCAATTTTAAATTATTGTGCAATTGTAACCTTTTACGTTTTTCTTCATCTACTTTTTACTGTGACCAGTAACATCTATTTCTTGAGAGTCTTAAACATGTTAATTATTATAATAAAAGGGAATTGGGATATCTATCTGTGCGTTGACATTATTTTTCTTTTGCGGTAAACTCAAAAACTAGAACGTATATAAAAAAAGTAATAAATAGGCATAGTTTTTAGCAATTAAAAATTAAAAATAATTTCATAAAGATTCATGGGCGTTTTATTGAGTTTTAAAAAAATTTTTTGCTTCCATTTTAAATTCTATTTTATATCGCGATTTTTATTATGATCTTTTCTTTCACTCAATATGATCTCTTCCTGGACGTTCTTTGTCGTCCATTGTACACTAAAAACTAACATTTTATATAAAAATTTGCCACAAAATTGCTTGCGGGTTTGTTTAGAATAGAACAATATTTATCAATTGATAAATCTTTTCATTTTTAAAATAGGCTAATATTGTTTGTGGGTTTGTAATTTTTTTTTAATATACTTAGTTCTCTTATAAAAATAAATTTTTTTATTTTAAAATCGGCTAAGATTGCTTGTGGGTTTGTATTTCTTTTTAAATCTTTTTTTTAATACTTTTTTTTTTGAAAATTATTTTTTAATAAAATTGTAAAAGTAACTTACAAAGTTATGTTAACTTTGTTTAATATTAATATAATACATCTGTGGGAGGACGCGGGTTGCAATGCAAACGAAATATTTGTACTTTATGTTATTTTACTTTTATATAAAATTTTTTTATCTTTTAAAAGAAAAATATTCCGCTCTTTTAATCAGCAAATACTCCGTTTCTTTAGAATGAAAAACTCGACTTAATTACAAATGTCTAGACAAACACATTGCTAAATACCGCAACAATCTGTAAAGACTAAAAAGTAGAAAATAAAATATAGCAAAAACATTTGCTAAAAACATCTTTTTGTACTAAAAAGTAGAAAATAAACTTTTTAATTTAAATTTAATAGTTCAGTAAACTAAAGATTGACAGGTATGTTTCTAATTATAAATCTTGTGTAGACCTGTCAATATTTAGTTTACTGAACTATTAAATTTAAATTAAAAAGTTTATTTTCTACTTTTTAGTACAAAAAGATTATACTTTTAGCAAATGTTTTTGCTATATTTTTTTAATTAGTAAATAACGCGACTGATATTTAAAAAAAACGCAATTAACATTTTTAGCGATGATAAGTTTTAATTCATACAAATTCAAGTGTTAATTTAGTGGCTAATTAAATGATTAAAATTTTAAATCTATTGATTATTAATGTTCAATTGGTAATAAAAAATAGTTTTAAATAATTTTGTTTTAACTTCTAATTTTTTAAACAAAAAAAAAAAAAAAAAAAACCCGCAAAAATCGAGTCGGAGAATGATGAAGAAATTGTACCAAGTTTCAAATTATTGTATGTTCAATGTAATGATATATGAAATACATTATTACTATTATTTTTTTAAATTAATTATATAAAAAAATAAACATGTGTTATAGTAACTAGAAGGTAGCTAGCCCCTGCGAATCGCGGGGGCTACCCACCCACTAGTTACTAAAACGTATTATCCTATTATACGTATTATTCTTGTAACTACTATTCTATATTAATATATTTATATAATATCCTATTCTCTATTATAATTATAACTACTAATATATTTATATAATACCCTATTCTCTATTGTAATTATAACTACTAAATATATATCCTATTGTTTAAAAACGCTTGTGATTTTAGGTTATTTCTAGTATAAAAAAAATTTTTTGGAATTTTTTTTCACGATATTGGATTGGTGACAATAACTTCAGAAAAAATTGTATTTTATAGGTAAATTTATTTATCAATTTTTATAATGCACCCACAAACATTACTTTTTACAAAATTAATCTTTATTTCTGTAAGTTACTTATATTGAGTTACAAACTTTTCAGCCATCTCCTAAAATTTTCTCCCTAACCTCCGGCGAAAATTTTATTTTTTTACGTGGAAGTGTTTTATAATCTAACAAAAAAAACAACAACAACAAAAACCTCTGGAGACGACGTTTTACAAAGTCTTACATTATGTTTTTTTTTTTCTAATAAACTCATTTTTCACATATTTTACATAAATTAAATGAAAAGTACTTGTATATAATAAATGATATCTAATTATTATTGTAAAGAAACTTTGACGTATGTATGCTAACGACCTCGCAGTAACAAATTATATTTAAGACCTCAAATTAAAGTAACACAGCAAAGTATTATATTAAGGAGCTCAAATTAGTCAATATAAAACTTAATCTAAAAAGCATTTTTATAAGTATTTTCTTTTAATTTAAAAAACCTAGTAAGTTATTTTCACATTTCTAACTTTTTTTTCTTCATATTTCTCAACAAATTAACTATAGTAAACGTAAACCTTGTCTACTATAATTAACATGTAAAACAGATGGGTCACTTTCGGATTTAAAATATTTTTTGATGTAAAACAGATAGGTAACTTTCGGATTTAAGATATTTTTTGATGTAAAACAGATGGGTAACTTTCGGATTTAAGATATTTTCAAAAATCTTCTAAAAAAAAAGTTTATTTGAATATCATATTTAATCATATATATACTTGTTCTCTATTTTCTTGTAAAACTGGTTATAAAAGAGAGAGAGATTCAAATTAATTTTATTGCTGAAAAGCTTTCTATTTAGAATTTCCGGAAAATAATCTGGACTTTTTAAAACTTATTTTTTTGAGAAGTAATTATCGGTTATCTGTGCTAAAAAAAAGGCAAAATTCAGTATATTTATAAAATAAGACGAAACTCATTGCTTATTGTTTAGATGATTTTAATTACGTTAATCTTGAATGATATCAGATTAAAACATATAATAGAAAAAACGTTTTAAATTAGAAACTAATCAGCGTTTAGGCATTCTAGAAGTTACACTGCTACAACACAATCTAAGATGATGAATTTATGGATTTTACAATATTCTTTAAATTTTTTTTTTTTTTTTTTCATTACCTCAATGATCTCAGGATTTTTGATTGTCTGGTGAAACGTAAAAGTGTATTTAAAAATTTTAAAGACATCCGTTTTTGTTTTTTTTTTAATTAGCTTTTCTTTTTACCATAAAATTTAATTGCGTTTGAATTGGCATTTGTACATTGTATTTTATTCGCACTTTGTATTACATAAAGTATCAATATTAAGAAGGAATAAATAATGAGTGATTCCGCTCTTTTTAAAAATGTGTAAACCAGAGTATTGTTAGAAACATTTTTACATGCCTAACCAGAACAATTTCCTACCATATTTTTACATTTGATATAAAATGTGAATGTTTAAAGATTTTACCGTTTGTGGCTTTCAATTTGTGTAAACAAAAATTGCTCATATATGTAACCATTTATATAATAATAAAATATCACATTTGATAAAAATGGTAATAATCATATTCAAAGACATTTAGCGCACATAGGAAAAATGAAGAATCTACTATAACTCCTCAATATTTTTTTGCTTTAATTTATAATGAGATTTAAAACTTTTTAAGATATTTAAATCACAATTTTAAACAAATAGGATACGTTACTTTGGATCAAATAGAATTCAAATTTGAGTGCTCAGCACGCAATCTTGATAAGAGTACTATCAACTAGTCATTACTTTAACACCATGTATCAACCAGTCAATACTTTATTAACATGTATCAACCAGTCATTACTTTATCACCATGGTATCAACTAATTTGAACACCCTTGTCTGAAAATTCCTTTCTTTTATGCTCTTGTCATATTTGAGCTAAAACCAATATATATTGTATGTATATATATTGTAATATATATACATACAATATATATTGTAAATATATATACATACAATATATATTGTATGTATATATTGTAATATATATACATACAATATATATTGTAATATATATACATACAATATATATTGTAAATATATATACATACAATATATATTGTATGTATATATATTGTAATATATATACATACAATATATATTGTAATATATATACATACAATATATATAAACTTATGCTATACGAAAGGAACCTTACATTCTTTACAACTATCTCACTCGTAACATATATTTTGCTTTTAAGTACAAGAGTTTTCATTAAAAATCATCGAAGTTCAAACCAATTAATTGATCAAAACCAATTTAAATTTCACAAAAAGAAAATAAAAAGAATTTAAATTTAAAAATATTTATAGAAAAATCTTTACACCATAACAGTATAGAAAATTAAACAAGCTAAGTAATGAAAAAGGGTTACTTGGTTCTTCTCTTAAGTTTTTCTGTTGCCTTTGAGTTATTAATGCCTTATCAATAAGTCCTAAAACTGAAGCATGACCATAATGAACAGCCAAAGCACGTGCATTTGCCCCCTGATTATCTTTCAATTCTAAATCAGCTCCCTAAATTAAAAGCAATTTAGCTGAGTTTTTATTAAAAAAAAATTGTTTTACAATATTGTTAAAAAAAAAAAACTTACATTTTCTAAAAGAATACTAAAAATCTCTTCATGGCCACTAATAGCAGCCTCCATCAATGGAGTCAAACCAGTCTGAAAGTGTCTAAAATTTTATTAAAAAAGTGAAAATAACTAATAGCAGCCTCCATCAATGGAGTCAAACCAGTTTGAAAGTGTCTAAAATTTTATTAAAAAAGTGAAAATAACTAATAGCAGCCTCCATCAATGGAGTCAAACCAGTTTGAAAGTGTCTAAAATTTTATTAAAAAAGTGAAAATAACTAATAGCAGCCTCCATCAATGGAGTCAAACCAGTTTGAAAGTGTCTAAAATTTTATTAAAAAAGTGAAAATAACTAATAGCAGCCTCCATCAATGGAGTCAAACCAGTTTGAAAGTGTCTAAAATTTTATTAGAAAAGTGAAAATAACTAATAGCAGCCTCCATCAATGGAGTCAAACCAGTTTGAAAGTGTCTAAAATTTTATTAGAAAAGTGAAAATAACTAATAGCAGCCTCCATCAATGGAGTCAAACCAGTTTGAAAGTGTCTAAAATTTTATTAAAAAAGTGAAAATAACTAATAGCAGCCTCCATCAATGGAGTCAAACCAGTTTGAAAGTGTCTAAAATTTTATTAAAAAAGTGAAAATAACTAATAGCAGCCTCCATCAATGGAGTCAAACCAGTTTGAAAGTGTCTAAAATTTTATTAAAAAAGTGAAAATAACTAATAGCAGCCTCCATCAATGGAGTCAAACCAGTTTGAAAGTGTCTAAAATTTTATTAAAAAAGTGAAAATAACTAATAGCAGCCTCCATCAATGGAGTCAAACCAGTTTGAAAGTGTCTAAAATTTTATTAAAAAAGTGAAAATAACTAATAGCAGCCTCCATCAATGGAGTCAAACCAGTTTGAAAGTGTCTAAAATTTTATTAGAAAAGTGAAAATAACTAATAGCAGCCTCCATCAATGGAGTCAAACCAGTTTGAAAGTGTCTAAAATTTTATTAAAAAAGTGAAAATAACTAATAGCAGCCTCCATCAATGGAGTCAAACCAGTTTGAAAGTGTCTAAAATTTTATTAAAAAAGTGAAAATAACTAATAGCAGCCTCCATCAATGGAGTCAAACCAGTTTGAAAGTGTCTAAAATTTTATTAAAAAAGTGAAAATAACTAATAGCAGCCTCCATCAATGGAGTCAAACCAGTTTGAAAGTGTCTAAAATTTTATTAAAAAAGTGAAAATAACTAATAGCAGCCTCCATCAATGGAGTCAAACCAGTTTGAAAGTGTCTAAAATTTTATTAAAAAAGTGAAAATAACTAATAGCAGCCTCCATCAATGGAGTCAAACCAGTTTGAAAGTGTCTAAAATTTTATTAAAAAAGTGAAAATAACTAATAGCAGCCTCCATCAATGGAGTCAAACCAGTTTGAAAGTGTCTAAAATTTTATTAGAAAAGTGAAAATAACTAATAGCAGCCTCCATCAATGGAGTCAAACCAGTTTGAAAGTGTCTAAAATTTTATTAAAAAAGTGAAAATAACTAATAGCAGCCTCCATCAATGGAGTCAAACCAGTTTGAAAGTGTCTAAAATTTTATTAGAAAAATAACTAATAGCAGCCTCCATCAATGGAGTCAAACCAGTTTGAAAGTGTCTAAAATTTTATTAGAAAAATAACTAATAGCAGCCTCCATCAATGGAGTCAAACCAGTTTGAAAGTGTCTAAAATTTTATTAGAAAAGTGAAAATAAGCCGTACCACAAAAATAATTATAAGCAGGTTCTGCAAAATTAGGATCTTTTAATATATTTTCATAAAACTGTTTAGTGATAAAACGTTGTTTTTTGATTGGACACAACTTTTACGACTAGCAAACATGAAAACCGTGTCAAATCAAGACTCATAACAAAATAATAACTCATAACAAAATAATGCAATGCGAGCAGATAACTAATGTAGTGATCCTTTTAAACTTTTAGATAATCAATTGACAGTAAATAATAATATTAATATTTTTCTTTTATTTAAATTTTTATAGATGTTGATGTAGTGAATTGGTTTTAGAGGTGTTGATTTAGTCAATTGATTTTAGAGGTGTTGATTTTGTGAGTTGTTTTAGAAATGTTGATGTAGTGAATTGAATTTAGAGGTGTTGATTTAGTGAATTGATTTTAGAGATGTTGATGTAGTGAGGCAAATGTATGAAAACTTGGAAACAGTGCATAACAAGCAACATGAAGGATCTTGGATTAGATTGTGAGTATTTAATATTTGTCCATGCAAGTGCAAAGAAATTAAGTATAAAAAAGAAAGTTGTAAACATTAAAATAAAACAAACAAACAACACAAAAGGTATAAAAAATATTAATGATGGAGGTAAAGAAGATTATGATGAAAATTTTAAATTTTTCAATAATGCTAAAACTTATTTTAATGTTTAATAAAGATAATAAATACAATGTAACTTCTTTTTTTGTAGAGATTTAACTAAGGGAATAAATATAATGTACACACACACACACACACACACACACACACACACACACAAAACATACTTAGATTGGTACACTGATGTCATCTGATATAAAGAACTGCTTGAGTACATACACCGACTGAAGGGAGATTATGCAATGGAAAAAGTGGATCAAACACCAATGTTTTTGGCCAAACAAAAGAAAAAAGTTGGATCAAACTTTATTGCTTATACAGTTTGTAAGTAAAATGGGTTCACAAGAAATTTAATGGTATACAAGGTGGCCTTAACATATTGGTTTCGAGTGTAAAAAAAGTACTTTTGTTGTATGTAAAGAAATTATAAAAAATTTTTTTTTTTTAATTAAAAAATTATGAACTCAAAGATTTGGATCTGGTGGTGCAGTAAAGGGATCTTGTGGTGGATCTGGTGGTGCAGTAAAGGGATCTCAGTGCAGTGGTGGTGCAGGAAAGGGATCTGGTGGTGCAGTAAAGGGATCTCTTTGTGGTGGATCTGGTGGTGCAGTAAAGGGATCTCAGCTGGTGGAGCAGTAAAGGGATCTTTACTATTGAGTAAAGTATTGAGTAGAAGGACAAAATATTTTTGCACTTGCAAGGGCAAAGGTAATGTGTACCTAAGCCAAATTCAAAGAGCTATCCCTTTAAATAATTATTATAATTTATAAAATATTGTTCACCTCCTAAAGACCAAGAGAACCACTACAGTCATAAAGGCTAATTTTTTTTTGATGTGGTTACACATAAAATTACTAGATTTTATGTTATTTATTTTGTTAAACATATGAGCAGACTAAAAAAAAGTTTTATATAAAATAATGAAATAATAAAAATGATAAATTATATTAATTCTGAATTATAAAATTAAAATATATATTGATTTTTTATTCAAATTTAGAAAATCTTATAATTTTTCATATATATATATAGGAAATTTGCTTTAATAATAAAACAAAAAATTAATAAAACAACAAAAACAAATTAAAATAAAAAATTAATAGTACTACACACACATGACATAAAAAAAAAAAAAAACTAGGGATATGTGTTTCACATTATATACATACCCTAAATTTAAATCAGCACCATGAGTAACTAAAAGTTTAACAGCACTTTTATGCCCTTGACGAACTGCATGAAATAAACTTGTCATCCCATTGTTATCTCTTGCATTAATATGCGCACCATACTATACAAGAACACATTTTTCTATATATCATCATCATCATCATCATAATCATCATCATCATCATCATCATCATCATCATCATCATCATCATCATCATCATCATCATCATCATCATCATCATCATCATCATCATCATCATCATCATCATCGTCATCATCATCACCGTCACCATCGTCTCCAGATTATATAAATAATTTTAAAATGGTTTAAAAACATTCAAAAATTTAAAACAAATATTTCAAGTAACAAACATTTAGTTATGGAACATAGAAGAAAAGTAAAGAAACTGAATGACTTTTTTTAAAACAATTATAACCTGCAATAGAAAATACATGATAGATTCTGTAGCACAGTATGATGCTAGCATTAGAGCAGTTAATCCATCTTTCTTTGCAAATATTTCTGTTTTTGCTCCTGCCTCAAGTAGTAAATTTAAGATATTGTCTCTACCCACATAAGAAGCATACATTAATGGAGTCCAACCTCCAAGATTTTGCTTATTAATATTAACTTGTCTTTCAATAAAATCTAAATAAAAACTTTTATTAAAACATCAGAAAAGAAAACAAAGCTACAAAACTTACAATAATTGGAAGCACAAACATCAAAAAAAATTTTTTTTTCAATATAACAAAATAAAAACTAAAAAGTGTGTTTATTGCAGTTCACAAAATCACCGTCTTCATAAATGTACAAAAATCCAATCAACTCCGTAAAGAAAATAATCACTTAAAGAAAACCATCGCTTTTCTAACTGCACTTCAACAAACCATTCAGTATCGAACTGCAGAAAACTGTTAGCGTTTTTGCTATCATTACAAAGGAAAATATCATTTATATGTATGCACTTATGACCATAAAAAGAATTTAAAGAGGGGAACCCTTATGATTGGATACAAAGGACAAACTATTCATCCGACAAATGTTGTTAAGGTTAGTGAATATAATGTGAGAGCACTCTTGGACACTGGAGCTGGTAGTTCTTAAGCTTCATTTACGCTAATCAAGTATTTAAAAATAGAGCCAAGTAAATAGGAAGCAAAAAATATTAAAGCAATGACTGGGTCACCAAAATCTTGCGATGTTTAACACAATGCTACACTCGACGAATGGAAGTGTTAATATAAAACTTTAAAAGTTGGAACGAACTGTGGTTACAGTGCTACAGAATCCGATGACGATGACCATTTCTAGTGATTATCAGACTTAAAAAAAAAGTTGTAACTTGGTTGGTTTTATTAAAACAAATTTAGCGAAATCTACTTCATAAACTTGATTTTATTAAAACAAATTTAGCGAAATCTACTTCATAAACAAATATAGTAAATTGTGCAAACAGTGTTTCTTATCCATAACCTTGATAATTTGTTCAAATTACCATTAATATTATTTTTTCATATATATTTCAGATATATTTTATTTTTCAAATTACCAGTAACTTGGAATAGCATTACAATAGTATTAAACAAAACTTATTTGCATAAATAAATTTTTTTTTAATTTAATTTTATTTATTTTAAGGGATTAGGCTTCAAATCCTAAAATATTTTTAGATACTTAACTAGATGAAGATTTATAATTAAAATCATAAATTATAGAATACCAAAGGCTTTGAATGAATATGAAGATAAACAAAAAATCAATTTTTGGGTACTTTTAAACCATGATATTTAAACAAGCATTCTGCCCACCATATATACTTTATCCTTAACTAGCTAATATGCAATAATGAAATGAAATAACCATGGGATAATAATCTCAGGTTTAAAAATGAATTTGACACCATTTGGTCAATAATTCTATAGTATTTGTCAAATTTTAAAGTCCAACATCTAGAAAACAAATGTTTTTTTAAATAAATATTTTAGCATTGATCTTCTAGTGTGAATAGCAACAATATCTTAAAAAATAATAAGTATATATATATATATATATATATATATATATATATATATATATATATATATATATATATATATATATATATATATATATATATATATATATATATATATATACTTACAATGGTATCCTTAGATTTGCACATATATTTATATTTATCAAGTACTGACTTTGGTTTACTTCCGACTTTCGGTTGTTTATAGCCGTTGGCTTAGCAGAAATGAAGGTTACTATTTATATTCTCATATATAAAAACTTAGCAAAATAATTGGTTCCATTAAAAGGTAAAATTGAACTTTAATTGTTGTTTGGCTGTTGTCAGTTCTTACTGAATATTGCAATTAATTTATCACAACCTTTCAGACTAGCTACAGCTCTGAAACTTTCAGCACTTGTAAAGTCCTGTTGAGCTATGTTAAAATACTTGCAACTTATTTTTACTGCTCTTTAAAATAGAGCTTTAAAACTTTCAGCAGTTGAATAGTCCCAATAATGTTGGGATGTTGAAAATTAAAATATTTTTCAGGGCCAACGATACAAGGGGCAAAAAATGCCCTTCCCACCCTAACAATTTCTTTTATATAAAGGAAAACATTTTAGAAAAAATTATTGAATAAAGATGACTTAAAATTTTTTTTAATTTACTTGTTGTAATTGAGGTAATAAAAGCGAAAGCGTAAATAACAGAGCACCTCTAAAATAAAAAAATTGAAACTGACTAAACAAAAAATAAGTTTTTTATTAGATAAATAAGTTTTAGCATTCATAACTTAAATTAGGTCTTTCTTTGATTTCAACAAAGGCATTGTTTCCCAATAATGCAATTGCATTTGTATGTTAACGTTGTTCAAGTTCATTATTTAATTCTTATTCATTAAATAGTCATTCTAAAAAGTATATTTTATGAGTCTTTTTTTGTAAAAGTTTAAAAATGAAACTTGTCAATATCATATAAAAAAATAGTATTTTAATTACTTAGTTAATTATATCTATTTGATTCATAAAATGTACTTAAATATATTTATTAAGCTGCGATTTGTTAGCTTTTTTCTGTTATTAACTGTTTCGCAACTTGCAGTGCGAAAGAGTTGTTACAAAAGAAACTTGGTTTTTTATCATTATTTTAAAAAATAAAACCTTAAAATGATCATATGTTGCAATTTTGAAAATAAAACTTTATTATAAACATTTTGGTACACAAAAATTTTATTTTTTGCAATTATATTTGTTTGGCCAACAAAATTTTTTTATAGACTTCAAAACATCGTTTAGCGAAAGAGCTCATTTCACAAGTGCAACTTCCGTAAGCACTACTTTCATATGTAGCAAAATAGTTTTATTTCGTATTTCAACTGTCATATTTTAACTACTATAACAATCTTTTCGAATGAAACTAAAACTGAAAAATGAATTTAAATTTAGCATAAGATAATAAAGTTAAAAATTTTATTAGATCAGAGCCGATGACACCGGAGGGAGCATTTTGGGGTACTTTTTTTGGGGGGCATTTTGAGGGTATGGGTAATACCCTATGAGGGTATTTTTGGGGGGCATTTTGAGGGTATGGGTAATACCCTATGAGGGTATAATCAGGCCAATGAGGGGGCATTTTGGGGTACTTTTTTCCCAGGCTTCTGTCATTGCAATTTTTTGCAAAACATTCTCATTTTGGCACAAGCATGAATACGGTTGAAAATATTTCCAATTAATTGATCTTTTCCTTAAAGTTCTATGTTAAGTCTATCAGAAATGTTTGCAACTCTATTTCTTCTAACTCTGGTTGGCAAAAAACGTCTAAAAAATTACTTCGTAATGGTGCTTATTGTTTTAACTACTAAAAAAAAAATATTTTTCAAATCCATAGTATTTTCTGTTAAATGTATACATTTCGTAAGTAGCATTTGCAAAATATTTTTTTTGTTTGGTAAAATTCAGTACAAAAAAAAAAAAAAATCCTGATTCTCAATATCCTTCCATAAGAATTTTATTTTTCCAGAATTGTACAAAATCTTCCGGTTAACAACTCTAATATATACCCTCATACCCTATACATACCCTAACACCCTATATATACCCTAATACCCCTATGAAATACCCTAAATAATTAGGTAAAAAGTATATGGTTTGTTCTATTTTCAAGTTTTAAAGTGGTTTCAACATTATTTGGCCAATATTCCTAAAAAATATTCTTAAATTTTCAAGTCCAATATCTAGAGAACCTACAAATATTTTTTTAAAAATTTGAATATTAACCTTCTAGTATAAATAGCATTAACATACTAAAAATAGGGCAAATTTGATAAGGGTAACTATTGGGCTCGGCTTGATTTTTACAGGAAACTCATAACATTTATATATTAGTAATAATATTTAACATAAATATTTTGTATAATATTTATTACTCAATACATAATTATTGTTCAAAATATTTAATACACAAGTATTAAAGTATATACACAAGTATAAACATATAAGTATTAAACAACATATTAATAAATCATAAATTAAAAATACAACGTAAAAATTATATATTTTGTTTAGGATAACTTACATGATTCTTATAATGATTATATTTTACATGATTATATTTACATTGATTATATTTTTACATGATTATATTTTTCATGAACAGGCATAGAAGAAAGATGGCGTAATCTATAAAATCAACTAAAGCCACGTATCAAATAATATCCAAATAAATCTTTCCAATATATCAAGGCTATGTAATAAAAATTAAAAAAAGTGAATTGAAATCAATTTATCAATCTATCCATATAAAAATTAAAACTCACAATGTCGATTAATCAAGAAATATTGATGAAAAACATTAAAGCACTTTTAGATGCACAAAAAGTTGAAATCCTACAAGCAATAAACACAAGTCTTTCTAAAATAAATAGCAATATAGCTGAACTAAAAATTACATATACTAATATTAAATCTACAGTACAAAAAAATACTGATGATATAAATGAAATACGACAGCAACTGCTCATTCTGAACTCAGATAATAAAACATTTTCGGAAGACATTATTAAGCTTAGTGCTGCATTAGATGACCAAGTAAACAGAAATTTAAGAAAGACACTGATTTTTAAAAACATTCCTGTTGACACAAAAAAATCCAGGGAAATCCTGGTCTGATACCAAACTAATTATTGCAGATACCATCGCAAAAGCGGCTAACATAGACCCAAAAAAATGCCCATGACATGATCGAACGCTGTTATCGAGGAAAAGTTCACGAAAACAGCATCAAGTCAAGCCACATTTTTGTTGAATTTCATAAATGGGCTGATAGTGAACACACAAAAAATATCTTTTTCAAGTTTAAAAATAATATTCGGGTTGAACATATGTATTCGCCATCGCTAACTCAACGTCGCAATGAGGCCATGTAAGAACGACATCATCTCATAGAAAACAAGTCTATAGTAAGCGGGTACCTTGAATACCCAGCCTTACTTAAAGTTAAGAAGAAGAAAGAGGATTCCAGGTATGTTTTAATAAAATCTTTCTGCGTCGACATAAATCGCTTATAGCTTTAGAGTTCGAGCAATGGTATCCTTAGATTTGCACATGTTTTTTCTTGTTTTGTCTTATTTTGATTTGCGGCAATATGTTTG